CTTAAAGTTGACCACAAATGAGAAACTTTTTTATTATTAGTTTATTAGTGCAAGGAAGAAATTAAAATAACAACGTTGCCAGTAAACGGCCGCCTGCCTGCGTGGAGATAACTCTCGAGTATGCACCGTTGACCGTCTGTGTGTATTGTGCTATCTGTCTGCGCTATGTGCTGTGTGATGTGAATTAAGAATAGGCACACAACGACAGATATACCCACAATCCCAACGCAGCCAGGCCGTTGGCAACCTTGATATTATTCGTTTCCTTCTCGAACTAATGCGAAGTCTCCGTAGTTTTCACTTCGACACTAGCAAACCGTATTAGAGGATTTTTAATAGCCGGTACTGTATATGAATAAATAAATATATATTCAGAGTTCCGCGAAAGTCCGAAATAAAATTATTAACTGTCCAACCAGTAACTTAAAAAAAAAACGCTGCAACAGGTGAATTGATTTTACATTGGACATATTTGTTGCCAATAAAATGAAATTTTTTTCTTCAACCCCTTAACTGCAACCCTACCCAACTTTTTTTTCAAATGCAAAGGTATGTTGGGTGTAGGTCATTGAAAAGCTCGTGAAAAATGGAATCTCACCATAACTTATTGTTACGCAGCACCCTGTAGTAGCACAGGCTACTACTGATAGCCACAGGGCTATCATAGGAAACGTACAGATAGAAGAAGAAGTGGAATGTTACTCATCGCTCTACAGTGTGCTGCGGTCGTCATAAGTAAAAGCACAAGTAAAAGAAGACAGAATATTCCAGAAATGTCATTACACAACAAGAACATTTTAGATGACATTTCGAGAAGGTTCGAGAAGGTCAACAAGCTATATAAGTGGACGACCTGACGTCAGAATTTAAGTTTTATGATAGACGTTATACGTGAATGTTATCAGTTGTAAAGTTATTGTCAAAGTTGAATTATAGTTATTGTAAAGTTCAGTTGAAATAAATTGTGATACCAAAAACCAGCGTAACATTATTTTTTTTCGTTTACTTATGTGGTTATTGGGAAATGAGAAAAAATTCTTTTAAAAACAAAAAAAAAGTTACAAATAGGATATAGTGAAATTCCATTTTTCCCTACAAACGACTTATCTTTGCATTTGAATGTACTTAATGTAGGAATTTATGTGATTCTTATTGTCAATATAGATTTAATAATTGCGATCCTGGAAAAAATGTTGCTTATCTCAATCATTTCGCCTTATTTGCTTTCCAATTTTTGGCATTTCTAACACAACTTTCTTGCGTGTTTTTTCTACAGGAGGACAAGTGACCTCCATTTTATGAATTTGCATTAAACGATTCTTATTATTTTGTTATTATATACTAAAAAACAGTAATTAACTATGCACGTGTTGTTACAAACCGACTACAGCTGCCACACTAGTCTAACTACTTGCTATTGGCTGAAAGTGACTTTGCTACTTTTGTTATGTTAAATCTGGAGATTGCTGTTTTTGATACAAACTTACAACATTGCTGAATGGTTTTAACGACTTATTTCTGCTTTTGTTACAAAATAAGATCTGATATTTTAAAAAACAAACATTCCAAACCGGTACGACACAAAAAGCTTTAATCGAAAAATTTGGAGTTTGCTGCTTTTGATATTAGACCGATTAATTAATGGTATTATCTCGGGTATTGGTATTACCATAGATTTTTGGGGCACAATACTTTGTACTGCATTTTCCGAGGAGTCGATGGTAAGTCTTCTATATCGCTGATATCAGACATTTTGATAATATATAAAATTCGCTAAAACGCCTCGTTAAGTGCTGCATTCTGTTGTAATGCGACTGTCACTATCGTATCTCAGTCATCATTCGTTTCCTGAAATGATTTACACATTTTAAAAAATCATTAAGAAGACATTAAGAGCTTAAATTCATGGATTATATTAAGAATAGTGCTGTTGAGGAATGCATTTATTTTCATCATGGTATTTCAAAATTTAAAGCCCTTTGATTTTTTTTCTCGGAAACTAGAAGGAATTAAAATATATGCATATTCTAGATATTATTGCCTAATTTATTTTGCCAAAATTTAATTTTTTTTTTAAAAAAATCACTTTTTGAGATATCCTTGTCCAAAAATTATAATTAGGTGCTGTAATGACCTTAAGAATGTGTGAATAATACTGACAGAGGTCCCATATATGCAATTACAATATATGCCCATCACTTAAAAAAAAAACATGTCCCGTAACCTTCAAAAATTTCTTCAAACTTTGGTAAAATGACATATGACAACATTCTTCGCACATTAAATTGCTACTATTTCGATATGCAACAATAGTTCTCGTTTTTTGTCTAGATGTATCTATTTTAAGTCAGTTCCAACTTAACAACGCCACATCGATTGATTTTTAGAAAATCTGTTTTTCTCAATATTTCAAACAATCCGAAAGCACTCCGCGAAATCGAACAAAACAATTTTCCTCCACTAAATTTTCTTCCATTTGAGACAGCGAAAGCTAATAATTAACCCATCAGAAGGAGGGAGAGAGGAAAAGGCAAAAAGCACAAGATTAATAGCAACTTAACTTCAGTGGCGTTCCTGAACTAACAGTTATTAATAGGTAATTAAAATCGTAAAGAACCAGAAAGTCGACTTATGGAGAAAGTTTTACTATGACTCGTTTTTTAATATACAGGCTGTTTAAGTTGCCATTTTGTAAAAAGGTCGTGCCCGACCTTGTTATAAAGTTGGCCAGAGCGTATAAACTGGCAACGCTCGTTTCCTGCTGGAGATAATGCTAACTGTATTTTTCACCTCGATTCTATTTCAAACAATCAAAAATATATTTTTATAAAGAATAAAATAAAATATTAGTGAATATCTTGTCTAACAGAACTTTTTCTGCCTGTCAAACATTTGATAAAGTAAATTAAAATAACACAAACAATCGTGAACATTTTCGCGAATGAAAGTGACTTTGGAGTGCCTCATTTACTGTCAGAGGCACATAAAAACGACAAATCATCATATACAGAATGTTGCATGACGTACTGTACAAACTTAAATAGCATATTCCTGAGTTCATTTCAAGCAAAAAAAAGTCCTTTGAACAAATATCCAATTCTCCATGGTTATTCAGTTACAAGCTTTCAAATATCAGAAGATAAATTAACGTATGTGTTCAAATATGTCAAAACACAGCACTAAATATTTAGTGATTTAGAACGCTGATACTCTCTACAAAGCAGCTCGCGAATTTCCATAAATGTACACTATGTCAGCATACTCTTTATTCAAAAACAACATAGGCATGTTGCTAATTTATATTTATCACAAACAGATTTTGACGTTACCATTTTCACTACTTGACTACTTATTATCTTCGTAACCAACACTATTGTATACTAGTGAATTTGTTGCATTTGTTAATAGAGAATGGAATTGAGAACATATCTATTTCTTTCTGAAGAGAACTATTAAGGACGAAACTGATCCAAGAATGTCGTTCTTCTTAGAGAGCAAAATCAAAGGTAGAGTGTTGAAATTTATTTCTATCTCTGCTCTTTCCTTTGGATATAATTCCATACCTGTTAGCCATAGGAGTAGTTGTTTTCCCAAGGGAACCGATTTCTCGTATTTGGTATGTTTTATTTATTTTATTTTACGTATTGGTCACATTTGAGTTGGAATTATTTTCCTTTTTTTTATCAAAAAAATTGCTAAAAACAATGCTAATAATAAAAAAACAAGGAAATGATAATAAAAATGGAAAATAAAAGGGTTAGAAATCCGAACAATTGAAAGCAAGGGAAAGCAAAAGATTCCTAAACTCAGGCCAATATTTCAAGAACTGAAAAAATTATCAAAACCAAGAGCATGAATTTAAAATTATTACGAGATAAAATTATACAATTAAAAAAAAGGAGAAGAGAAGAATTTTGTTATAAAACGAGCTACAAAGAAAAAGAACGGATCGAGAGAATTTTAGACGAACAAAAAGATCCAAAAAAGACTTGAATGATGTAATTATAAAAAAAGCCTACATCAAGCCATTTCAATTATCTGAGAATAAGAAAAAGATTTTACTGAATGCTAGCCTTATTCCTGCATTCTATAATACCTATTTCGAAAGTATTTTATAATAATGAAGAGCGACCAATTACTAATTACTTCTTTATAAATTTATGTTGAGATTTTTCGATACTTAGATTTTATTGCTTTAGTGATAAATTATTAAGTATGCTTTCATGCGATATTATTAAATTATAACTATGTTTATTAAATGCAATTTTGGAAATTATAAACATTGGGGAAACGAGGGTGTAATTTTCATACTTTCGTAGGGGGAATTGAGGATTTTTTTTTTCATAATTCCAAAATTGCATTTAGTTTTCAGATCTCAACCGATTTTTCCCACTTCATTTTTTTTATTATGTTTTTATTGTTGATCTTAGCGTTTTGTTAACCTTAGTCAGTTTGTATTTACCAAAAGTCAATAAAAATAACTAAAATGTACCTGATTTAAACTGTTTTTTTTTCTTTCGATAAAACGAGGGCGTAACTTCAAATTTTACTTTTAATTTTAATAAGAAAAAAACTATAATTAGGCAGTTACGTCGATATTCTACGGCATGTACTTAGGTAGGAAATAATTACAAAATTACTGTAAACTCCTAAATAAACAAACAAGCAACAATCGGGCAGGCAGTCCTGATAATTGATATATGCAACCAATGACGTATATAAGTAATTTTCAATGAATTTTCTCCAAATACTCTGCAATGGGAATGCGTTTTATTCCCGAAAAACATCGTTGTGTCATTTTTGATTAGGTCGGCAGGATCGTGTAGCATTCCACTGGTGGAGAATTCAGTGCAAATTATAGATACACAATAATGATGATTCAGAAAGAAAGCAGCCATATGCAGTGTGGTGCTTTCATTTGTAAAAAATAGTCGCTTTTTTTAAGAGGACATGGCACTAACGTATGTAACATAAGTTTTTAGACAAAAAATAAATTAATATTATTTGTTCAAATTTTCAACTTTACTTAAACTATGTAAACAGTTAACGAATATCATAATTTGGTCTTCAATCCGTCGTTTTTTGGTGTCAAGTGATTGGATAGTAGCAACATTGATTTCCTGAATCTTTTGGTAAATTTTCCTTCTTAATTGTTCTTCATTTTCTGCTTCCCAACCATTATCATAAACTTTTTTGCTTAATAAGGTACAAAATTCTTCGATGGAGCGTGCTTGGGGAATATTAGGTGGATTATCTTCTTTGGGTACAAATGGGATATTATTGGCTACTAACCAATCTTTAGTTTGTCTGGCATAGTGACAAGATGCTAGATCAAGCCAGAACATGATTTTATCATTATTGTGATGTTCGTTTATAAATCGTAACAATTTAGTCAAACATCTTTGTATATAAAGACCTGCAGTGATGGCTTCTCCTCTAACATGTCCTACATATGGTCGCGAAGCACCTGCCAGAGAAATGGCGCACCACACCGGAATTTTATTTTCAAATTTAAATGTCCTTTTAAATTTCCATTTTGTGGCAAACAGACTTAGTGTAATGCCATTCTCTCTCTCACACACACACTTTTAAATTTCACATTATCCGGAACTGCATTGACATCCTCAGTATAGAATCCATCATTCCTCTTTATCACAGATTTAAATGACGTAAAATATTTTTTCTACGTTCATGCAAAAAACAAAACTTTATTGAACTATATTTAGTGAAAAAACTGGTTCTTTATTGCACTAGTGCAATAAAAAATATATTGCACTCATCTGACATTTTACTACAGCGTTTTATGATCATGACAAACATAAATATTCAAATCAACGCCAAATATTTAGTCCATTTTCATTTTCTGTGTTACGTTTTAAAAACAATTGTATATTTTATATTATTTTCAATCATTTAATAAATAAATTAATAAAAAAATGTCATTACAAATTATGAACACAAACATAAATAAATGCCTCAAACAAATGTACACGATCACGGCTACTATGATTTGGATAATACAACTGCAGTTTTATAAAACATTTTTTGGTTTTTGCATGAACGTAGAAAAAATATTGTATGCAACTCGTGCAAAAAGTGTTTATTGCACTCGACGTGTTGTCCAACTCGGCCTGACGGCGTCATTGCAATAAACACTTACTTTTTGCACTTGTTGCATAAATAACTATTGCATCATCGAAAACAATGATTCGGTTGTTTGCAAAATATTGAAGCCTTAGTGCTCGACAACACCGTGGAATTCTTTGCCACTGCGCATCTGTATATTTTGAACAATTTTTCTTTTTCTAAATGACATTCCACTTCTCTTAATTTCTCGATATGCAGTCATGTGTGAAACTCCATAGCGCCTTCCCAATCTTCGTGTAGATGTACCAACATTTTCTTTTGCTCTTTCTCTCAGTCTATCTGCTCTAACATCAGTCAAAATCCGAGGCCGTTCGCTTTTTGGTAGGTTCAAATAAGGTACTCCTTCCTCACATTCCTTTATTGTTCGGTAAATGGAGCGGATAGCCGTGCTTGTATGGTTGTTGAATTTGTTTGATACGAGCTTCGATTTGATGCTTGTTGGATCTGGGACAACTTCAATCCAGCGGAACTCCGTATTTGTAAGTAAATTTGGAGAACTTTAATCGAGCGGAAGTCTATGGTAGACAAATTCACTAAATACGAATCTCGATTTGATGCATTTGAGATGCTTTTAAGGTCTGACATGATGAAGTTTGGCAGTTGAATTCGCTTGATACAAATTATTGGTATATAGGTGCATCATTGAAGTTGGCAGGACTTCAGTTTCTTGTTTCCCTTCAGGTTGAAGTTTGCTTTTTCCATAGGTTTTTAAAATTTTTAAACTTTTGCTCGAAGTACCATGATTATAGTTTGATATAAATTGTTTTATAATTAATACTACAAGATGAAGTTCATCAATCTCCTTATTTTTAATTTGCATCTAAATATGACAGGATAAACAATATCACAGCTCTACAAAAAAAAAATTGTTGCCCTAGATATCTTTGCAAATTTTTATGTTTTAAAGTGCCCATATATTCATGAAAGTACTGAATGTGCTTTTGTTTTTTATGATTTTTACATACATATTTTATATTTTGAACAATTATCGGCTTGTTTGTAATAAAATTTATTTTCCCGTTATGATTGGGTTTTTGTGCAACTTTTTCGCGCGTCACATCACGTGATTCCCACTCTCAGACCCCTTGCTCCGAAGAACAGCTGAGACCTCACTTATTGAAGTACTTACACGTAAATCTGGATAACATGAATTCTTCGTAGAAAGTGTAAATGTAGTACTGATTCATTTTGTTATATTTGCGGTGTTTATGTAACAAAAAAACAAAAAAGAAATATCACAGACTTTGTCAAGGAGACTTATGCTGAATATTTCGGGTTTAAAATGGATAAACTACAAACTAGATAAATCATGGGTCCCTCATAAAGTTTGTAAGTCCTGTGTTGAGTCTTTACGGTTGTGGAAAAAAGAAGAACGTTCTGGATTAGACTTTGGTATTCCTATGATATGGATGGAGCCTAAGAATCATTTCGATGATTGTTACTTTCGCGTAGTAGATGCTAAAGGTTTTAATCGAAATCAAACAAAATGTCCTGTTCTACACAGTGAAAATCTCTTTCGGCCTATTTACATTTCAAAAGTAGTTCGCATGCCCTCAGAAACAATGATGTTGCCAAATTTACAGAAATCGGGAGAGTCTACCAGTGGAAGTGAATGAGAGGGTGAAACATCTACTCCAAAGTTATTTTCTCAAAATGAACTTAGTGATTTAATACGTGATCTCAATTTATCAAAACAAGGATCAGAACTGTTAGCCTCAAGATTGAAAGAAAAAAATTATTGGCACCAACAGCAACAATTACAACATACAGAACGCGAGAAAGTGAGTTATTAAAATTTTTAGTGAAAATAAAGGACTGGTGCACTGTAATGATATTGCAAAGCTGCTTTTAGACATGGGTTTAAAATAATACAAACCTACTGAGTGGCGCCTTTTTTATTGACAGTTGTAAAAGAAGTTTAAAATGCGTCTTACTGCACAATGGAAATAAATTTGCATCAATTCCAATTGCCTATTCAACAAAACTCAAAGAATATAAAAATGTAAAATTAGTTTTAGAAAAAATTAATTACTCGGAACATCAATGGCCGATCTGTGTGGATTTAAAATGGTTAATTTTTTACTTGGTCAACAAAGTGGATACACGAAATACCCTTGCTTTATTTGTATGTGGGACAATAGAGCGAAGCAACTTCATTGGGAACAAGATGTCTGGCCTGTAAGAAATTATTCAACTGTAGGTATAGCCAATGTAATAAGGGAGCCGTTGGTGATCAGAGACAAAATCATATTTCCACCATTACATATTAAATTAGGAATGATAAAGAATTTGTAAAAGCGTTGGACAAGGAAGTAGAATGTTTTAATTATTTTTGTAGAAAATTTCCGAAGCTTAGTATGGAAAAGTTGAAAGGTGGAATATTTGATGGTCCTCAAATACGGCAATTGATAAAAGACACAGATTTTATTAAAGTTATGACTGTTCCGGAAAGTAAGGCTTGGAAAAGTTGGTAGTTGAAAATTTTCTAGGTAACCATAAAACATCAAATTATAAAGAAATTGTACAAAATATGCTAACAGATTCTAGGAGCAAATATGAGTAACAAATTACACTATCTGGATAAATTTCAGGATAATTTAGGAAATTATAGTGAGGAACAGGGAGAGCGGTTCCACCAGGATCTAAAAGTGATGGAGGAAAGGTATCAGGGACGATAGGATTGTTACATGATGGCAGATTACTGCTGGTCTTTAAAAAGAGATTGTTCCCTGAAGAATTATAAAAGAGAAGTTCATAAAAAACATTTTATGAAAATTTAACATATGTTTTCGACATTTTTCTCTCTATTTACTTCGATGTATCCTAATTTTTCAAAATAAAACTGACATTATAAATATATCTGTTATTTTGTTTCTTGTTTTCCGAATGCAACATGAAAATAAAGATTTAAAAGAAAACGAGAGCAAATTTTACGAAATCATTGATAGTTTCAGGAATTGTAAGCATAAATATATCCAATATATCTAGGGCAAGAAAACCACTGTAGACCAGTGTATAAAATAACAATTAGCAATATTTAATATTTTAAATGTACATTAGAAAAAAATATTATTCCAATTTCGAGCTCCAGTTCAATGTTTTGAAAATGATTTAAAAATACAAGCCAGCATTTTTACTTTCCTATCTGTATACAGATATAAGGAAAGTATAGGAATCATGATTTTTTTCGACCTCGAGTTTTCGATGGATTTTTACGTTTTGAGGTCCCCTGAATCCGTTTTGACTATTTTCGCGATGATGTCTGTGTGTGTGTGTGTGTGTGTGTGTGTGTGTGTGTGTGTGTGTGTGTGTGTGTGTGTGTGTGTGTGTGTGTCTGTGTGTGTGTGTGTCTGTATAACGCATAACTCATGAACCGATACACAAAAAAACACCAAATTTTAAACTTAAGCTTTGTTTCAGCGTCCAATGAGCTGATTAGATTTTGGGCAGAGTCGGAACATCTGGGGGGGTACTTTATAGGTGGTCATTTTTATATTTTATGGAATATATCTGTTATTTACGTTTGGAGAAGAAAATTCTTCAAATAAAAGTGACTTCTAATATAATTATCTATAATTTTTGTTTTATGCAAAATTTTTCTAAAATGGTCCGTATTCGAGAAATTTGACAAAATGTAAAAAAAATATTTTTTTATAAAAATTGTTCAAATAAAAGTTGTTTGTAATATAATTCTCTATAATTTTTATTCTATACATAATTTCTCTAAAATGGACCGTATTCGAGATATTTGAGAAAATGTGTAAATTTCGAATATTGAAGAAAACTCAAAAACGGATAAAGAAAAAATCATTAAATTTTAAACTTAAGGTTTATTTCGGCCTGAAGTGAAATGATTAGATTTTGGACAAAGTCGGAACATCTAGGGGGGTACTTTATGGGAGGCCGTTTTTATATTTTATGGAATATATCTGTTATTTATGTTTAGAGAAGAAAATTGTTCAAATAAAAGTTACTTCTAATATTATTATCTATAATTTTTGTTTTATGTTAAAATTTCCTGAAATGGTCCGTATCCGAGAAATTTGACAAAATGTGCAAAATTCTGATTTTTATGAAAATTGTTGAACTAAAAATTGTTTGCGATATCGATCTCTATAATTTTTGTTTATACATGATTTTTCTAAAATGGACCGTAATGGAAAAGTGCTAAATTTAAATTTTTCAGTATAAAAACTAG